TTTAAGACTTTTCTCAAAAGAAGGAATTGTCTCAGGTGTGGCATTCCATCCAAAGAAAAATTTTATAAGCATGTTTCTTGAAGATTTTTACACATCTGGTCTTCAGTAGAAAAAAAAATTACCAATGGCTGATTTTAGCAGAAATATGTGAGCTCTATCTGGCAGAGAAGGGCCATCTTTTTTTAATTTTTTTTTTAAACCAAACCGGATGTGATGATTGTGATGTTTGTAAAAAAAATTAACAAAAGAGAGGAGGAATCGTGATTCAAAAAGCTTTGGAAGTTATGTTTTAGATAACAATAATTGGTTGATAATATTAGGCAAAAGATATAAAAACTGCAACAATTTACATTTATTGTCGTTAAATTATAAAAATAGCCACAACTTGAGTATAATAAGCAGATATTTTATTGAAAATGAATGAAAATTATTTGGAACCTACTTGTTTTGATAATATTATCAGTGAATAAAAAAAACAACTTTTTCTTTAGATTAATGAGAGAATAAAAACTTTAATTGGTGGTATTGTTTAAATGAGAAGGAAATTAAGATAAAACCTGCCTCACAGCATATAACGATTAAATGGGGTTTAGTAACATATTCGATTTGCTGCCTAGGAATGTTTTTAGTACACACCGGTAATTACTAGAATAAAACTAGTTTTCTAATTACCTCACATTCTACTAAAGGTGGTCTTAACAACAACAACAAAAAAAAGTTTGTTTGAAATCTATTACAGTTAAAATTGTTAAATAATAACAATAATGATAACTTCAAATCAGATAATGATTGCAAGCTGCATAAAAAATGACTAGTCAATTTAAAGTCAATTAGTAGTTAGCTGACTGACACACACACACTCTCACTTTCTCATTGTTATACAATTGTAAATTAGCAAACTAAATTACCCATATCATCAAAATATAAATATCACACTTCTGGACCTCTCTTCAGGTTTATTACTTCCCAGTCAGCTTTCATCTTCAAAAATTTAAATGCAATGTCAATTGTTATCTTCTGTCTTCTTAATTCTTGTTCTTTTATTATACTCTCTAATATAATATTGTTTTGTTCTCATATTCTCTAGCACTCAGTAACCCCTCCAACTTGCATCCTAGTGGCTTTATTGCCTTGTTTGGTGTGAAATAATAAAAAAATAAAAATAACAGTAATATTTAAGTAGTTTTGCATTTACATTGATTATATTTCAGATTTTTATCTGTGAAATTAATTCCATTGTAAGAAAGAAGTAAATTATGTAATAAATAGATCAATAAATAAAAACAACCAAAAATAAAAACATGAAACAAAAAACAGCAATGTATTAGCAGCGTGATCTCACCTACATACTAAAGAGATATACCATTGTTATAAGACAAGTTATGTTCACTTAACATTAAATAATGCCTGCTGTTACCATAACAGAATATCACATCATTTAGAAGGGGTGATCAGGATGCATTACTAATAAATAGTCTTATAGTGTTTTTTATTTTGGGATAGATTTTTTTTTTTTAATTGTTTGATTTGTTTTATACACTTTATAAAACTTCTGCAGGTTATTTAAAGTCAGAAAATATTTTTAGAGTGTAAGACTTTTAGGGAATAATAATGATTTTCTGTCATTATTGTACTACTAATTAAGCCCAAAGCTGGGAAGAGTTGAAGTCATACCTTTCCAAAAAGTATTTGTGTGTAAGTGAATATGACAATCCTGACTGGAATTGGAATTGGAATTCAACTCAATTTCCAATTTCAAGCCATTATCCAGTACACCACCTGCACATCCAAGATTATAGCATCTCGTATTCCCAAGCAGTCACCTGTCTAGGTACTGACCAGGCTCAATGTTGCTTAAATTGGTGATCATACAAGAACTGGTGTTTCAATGTGATAAGTCCTGAATAGATTTATAAAATTAAGTATTTATGACAAGTAACTGCAACAAGAATAAAGAAAAGTTATTTATAGTTTGAATTTAATTGTCACTTCCATCAAAAAAATGTTATAAAACTTAATAATAGCATTCTTTAATTATTGTATGAGGTTCATTTGGACTAATTTCCTTTTTTTTCTTTTTTTTCATGTTTTAGCCATATACTTCCTGATCTTCTTCAGGTGCTTGTTGTGTGTTGGAATGTGATCAAATCTAGTTCTGGAGGTGCATCTGTAAATTTTTTTTTTTTTTTTGCACATCTGCATTCTTGTGACTGTATGTTCCCAACTCCTGCACTGGCCTCATGACCTTGCACATCTCTTGGAGATCTCTCCTATAGAACTCACAAGTTCATAACCTATTTCCTTCCAATTAATGCTTCCCACACACTACTAATGCTGACTGATTAACATGAGCATAGTCAACAGGTAGTTTCCTTCAAGCTTATTTGCCAAAATGTCACCGTCTAGATTTAACTTCATTCGATAGAGCAGCATGCCAACATCTCCTTCCACACATTCTACCATACAAGATTTCAAAGTATCTCTGTATGTTACAACTATTCAATGTTCTTTGTGTTTTTAAGAGATTGTTGGTCTCAACCTGGTACTCTCTGCCACAACTACATGGAATAGGATATAGTTCTTGGCTATGTTTAATTCTAGTGGAAGTCTTACTTTAATAAGGCACCTAAGCATGTAATAGAGTACTCATATTGTACAGATCACACATTCTCTAGATGAGATTATGTCTCTGATGGATAGTGGAGTTCTTCATGTCTTCAGAAATATCTGCTGCTATGAAGTTTACAAAATAGTTGTTTCTCTGGGGATAGGTGTCCTTTATACTAGGTTGCTAACTAAGTTTTCTTTGCCATTTTGTATTGTATCGACAGTTGGAATCATAGTTTGTTAATGTGCAATGAATGACAGTTTATGATGCACAGATACTCTAAATCTGTGTTTTGTACAGCTTTGTAGAACATCTAGGAAGGCAAATTCACCATGCTTTTCTTTTCCCCAGTAATGAACTGGTCTGAGAGTCTTATAGAGTTAGCATGGTCCAACAGCACTTACTCATTTTTCCTGCTAACGCCAACATATGGAGGTATCATGTACATAGCCAGATGGACGGTTTCAATGGTGTAGCTCTAAGGGCTATTCCCTCAAAGTATACTATGTAAATGTTTGCTATTACTGGGGACAATGGCGAACCCAGAACCATACCTTTTTTCAACTGATATATTTCAATTGGAAGTATGTTGTTTGTATGCAAAATGTTAATATTTCCATTAGGTTGTCTATTGGGATGCAGTCCAAACAAACCACATACAATGGTTAAGACCTACTACCAAAAAGACACTTAGTTAGATTTAAAATAAATGAATTATACATGAAAATATTGTTAGCAAATATATTATCAAGTCAATTTGTACTAGATGCAATGTTTTATATTTTGTACTAACAAATACCAACAATACATTGCATGTACATCATTCTTGTGTATACTGATAGTATACATGCATGTACCACTGTCATGCGCAGACACACACATATATGCACTACTTAAATAGACTGGTCCATACATAAAAATAGGGAAAATTTGTGAGAGAATAATTTTTGCAGATAAATGCTTTTTATACCTTCCTCAGGCCACAACACTTGTTAGAATAAAAAAATACTGATTTTTTTTTTTATAGATTTAGATTAATGGGGTTTTCGTTTATAACATCAAAACAGTGCCAAATCAATCCCTGTCTTTTACAGAGTTATCTGCACTTAGTTTATATTTACAAATGTCTTGCCTTGAAAATGTTATTACATCATTGATACCTGCATACTTTGGTTCTTTAATTAAAACTTGAAAATGTATACATTTGTCTGTTCTGTAATGGAAAAAAAAAAAGTTTTGTAAGATAAAAAGAAAAAAGTTTGTTTTCGTACACAGATACAAAGGATGTGAACACCGGTTTAAATATGACATCTGTAAACAAACTGGTAAGTTTTGATAATTCTGTAAAAGTCAGGGATTGATTTTACAAACAGGACCGCCACTTCTAACATTAAAAAATAAAAAAAATCTTTATTTTACAATTGCAACAAGTGTTGTGGCCTAAGGAAGATCTAAAGAACGCTCATTTACAAAAATTATTTATGAAAAAATTGTTCTATTTTTTATGTGGAGAAATCTAAGTGTGTGTGTATATTATATATATATATATATATATATATATATATGATAAAAATATACTTTTATGCTATGCTATATTTATGGGTTAAGTGCTCAATATCAAGGATAGAGTGTATGTAAATATAAAAGTGGGGTCTGAGGTCAACACTGAGTGGCAACAGTCTGTTTGGTGCTTGAACACAATCTTCAGGCCAGAAAATTGCATGAAATTGATTGTAGCTACTCAGTGTCCACTTCATATATATATAACGTGTATGTATATTTTCATATATTGGATTTTTATAACCTAAATGATATCTCACCAGAAATTTCCATCAAAATAAAATGTTTTTATAACCCAAAACATAGACCCATTCATTTCAAAAGTCCCTCTGTGTACACACACACACACACACATATTAATAAAATAAAATAATTTTTTAATGTTGAAATAAAAAATAAAAGAACAACTATCCAAAATTAGTTTTAGCATTCACCAAATGACACCAAACTGCTAAAGTTTTTGGTTGTTGTTGATTTTAGGTTAAAAATTTTTTTGTCCTCCCCAGTTTTTACAGAAAGAAAATTTACATCAAACTGTTTTAAAATGTTATGTTAATACCACAAAGCTAACAGCAAGAATGTCTCTATTTAACAGTAATCAGCCAAGCAGCTTTTGTCAACAAATTTTATATAAGCTGCCAAGAAATTATTTTTTTGCTGTTAAATCAAATTTTAGTTGATTATTCAAGAATGTTGGTAAACCTCAGATTGTGATAAAAAAATATTTGTAAAAAAAAGTACATAAGTCTATATGCATGGCCACCAGGAAGATGGATTCCTGTCATGAAGTTTGTTTTTTTTTAACAGCAGCAGCAGCAGCATATAATATCATTCAATATTGAGGAACTTTCCAAGAATCTGCTTTTGCATTTTGAAGTCTTCGTATTGTATTCCTCTTCCAAAAGTACCAAATAAATCCAAATAATGTGCAGACAACAACTTCAACATAATACCCATCAACAATGCTGAAACAGCTACCACCACCATTTGTACACATCTGCAAGGAATGGAAAATAAACAAAGAAAATCATCACTGATGAAAAGCTAAAAATAATTAGATTTAAAAGTTATATAAATATTTTTCATTTTATAGATTGACATGTACACACATGATTTTTTTTTTAACCAAACAGGCTATAATGATTGCAATATAAAAAGAACTGTTTTATCAAAAGCAGGGAGAAGTCACAATTCAAAAAACTTTGGAGGGTATCTTTTAGATAACAATAACCAGTTAAGCAAAAGAAATAAAAATTGCAACAATTTACATTTATTGTTGTTATTAAATTGTTATAAAAAATAGCCAGAACCTTGAGTAGATAATCATAAGTAGATATTTTGTTTACAATGAATTAAAATCTTTTATGAGCAAATCTATAAATAATTCACATATGAAGTGTTCTGGAAATTTTCAAAAGCAAATGTATAAATAATTCATATATGAAGTGTTTGAAATTTTCAAAAGCAAATCTATAAATAATTCATATAAAAGTGTTTGGGAAATTTTCAAAAGCAAATCTATAAATAATTCATATATGAAATGGAAATTTTCAAAAGCAAATCTATAAATAATTCATATATGAAGTGTTCTGGAAATTTTCAAAAGCAAATCTATAAATAATTCATATATGAAGTGTTCTGGAAATTTTCAAATCTATAAATAATTCATATATGAAGTGTTCTGAAATTTTCAAAAGCAAATCTATAAATAATTCATATATGAAGTGTTCTGAAATTTTCAAAACAAATCTATAAATAATTCATATAAAGTGTTCTGGAAATTTTCAAAAGCAAATCTATAAATAATTCATATATGAAGTGTTCTGGAAATTTTCAAAAGCAAATCTATAAATAATTCATATATGAAGTGTTATGAAATTTTCAAAAGCAAATCTATAAATAATTCATATATCAAAGTGTTCTGGAAATTTTCAAAAGCAAATCTATAAATAATTCATATAAAGTGTTCTGAAATTTTCAAATCTATAAATAATTCATATATGAAGTGTTCTGGAAATTTTCAAAAGCAAATCTATAAATAATTCATATATGAAATTTTCAAAAGCAAAATTTTCATATAAAGTGCAAATCTATAAATAATTCATATATAATTTTCATATATAAATAATTCATATATGAAGTGTTCTGGAAATTTTCAAAAGCAAATCTATAAATAATTCATATATGAAGTGTTCTGGAAATTTTCAAAAGCAAATCTATAAATAATTCATATATGAAGTGTTCTGGAAATTTTCAAAAGCAAATCTATAAATAATTCATATATGAAGTGTTCTGGAAATTTTCAAAAGCAAATCTATAAATAATTCATATATGAAGTGTTCTGGAAATTTTCAAAAGCAAATCTATAAATAATTCATATATGAAGTGTTCTGGAAATTTTCAAAAGCAAATCTATAAATAATTCATATATGAAGTGTTCTGGAAATTTTCAAAAGCAAATCTATAAATAATTTATAAATGAAGTTTTCAGGAAATCTGACCATGAAAATCTTCCTTTAAAAAGAAAATAAACAACACAATCCGACATCTAATTTTCATAATTTTCAAAGGAAATGGTGGAAACTACATGTCTGGATACTGTACACAAGGGGTAGCTGTAAAAGTCTATACAACATTCTGTTTGCTCATACTGTTCAAATTTCCAAAACCTGAGGGTAGCACCTCAGAAATGTGAATATATTACAAAACTATATTAATTAAAAAGTTATTTTAAAGAATTATAGTCATCAGTTGATTATAAAATAGATAAAAATCAAATTTACTGATTTATTTTTTAATCATTTCATTTCAAGCAAGGCAATAAAGCTACTAGGACCCAAGGGTCACAGGGAGTGAAAGAGAAAGAACAATAAAAGAACAGATTACAGGAAGACAGAAGATGGCAAGTGACATTGCATTTAAAATTTCGATGATTGTCGGTGGCAGGGAAGTAAGAAACCAGAAGAGGCAAGAAGTACAAGAAAAGAAACTATTATAATAGAATACAGTCATATCTAACTAGTTCAACAATAAAACAGTAAGACCTAGTTGCTAATCTAGTTGTAAACTTAAATTCTTGCAGTTTAGGCACTAAGGAGGAAAGCTCATCAGAATAATTGCCATGAAAATATTTGTAGAAAAGACAGAGGGGAGCCACATCACAGTGCTGAGTGTAAATGAAGTTGTGATGCCAGGTCAGAAACAATTTACAAATCATTCATTGAATTTTATCAAAAATCTTGAGATATATGGTAGGTTTGTTTTGGTTTCTTTTGTTTTAGAATATATCAACCTCAATGGGTGAGTTAATGCTAACAAGATTTTTACAATAGATTCATATGAATAGAATGTATATTCTTTGTAAGGAAACAGTTTGTAGATCCAGTTTCAGTTTGGTTTGTTTTGTCTTGTTTTGTTTTACAGGATATCAACCTCAATTGGTTATTTAATGCTGACAAAATTTTTATTACTGATATTTTTTTTTTCTAAAATGTATTGCTGGTAATATTTTTTTTTCAAAAATGTACTGTTGGTAATAATGTATTGCTGATAATAATTTATACTTTCTTAAAAAATGTATTGCTGGTAATAATTTTTTTCCAAAAATGTACTGGTAGTATTAAAACCTATTTTTACACTTTCATAGTATTTTGACCCAAGTTTGGTGGTTAACTGTTTGCCCATAGTTGGGACCCAAACAGGTGCTGGGTCAGCGTGGACCTGAGAATACCAGCAATTATGGGGTGGTTCCATGCTCCTCAAAACCTCCCAATCAGAGGCTTTGCTGCCAGATGTAGTTTATCATCATACCCAGGACACGGATGTAGTTTATCATCATACCAAGGTCGCCTCATTGGGAGAGAGAGGGTGCTTACATGTCTGAAGCCCCAGCCAACAGGGTGGATATATAGTAGGAGCACTATATCTGGTAGCAGTATTCAATGCACAGACAGATGATAGATTTATAAATGTGCTACATTCTGATGAAATTAGAAGGTATGGTGATTATATATGTTTTTAAGGCATTAAAATTTACAAGACATTCCTTGCCCCATTTAACCAGATAGATATTTTAATAATTTTCTAACATTGTAGGTTAAAGCAAAAAGCCTCTGTTTACTTGTTAATAAAATGTCCTGAAAGATATATTTAGATATATTCTTAATTTCTTTGATTTAAAACAAATTATGCAAATATACTCTGATTACATATGAAGTAAGTGTTAAATCTTTTCATCAGACAGCATGTGTCAATAATCCTATCAGCAGAAGTAAACCCTTTTCAGCTTTTGGACATGTGTTAAAAGAAAAAAGTCAGAGCATGCATGTTGTAGATTAGAAAAGTTTAGTCCTCTTTCTTTTGGGGCTGAAGTCATGACAGGATTTTGAGGTCATGGCAGGAAGCTAAAGTTAGTGTTTTGTGCAATAGATATCCATGGTACAGATAGTATACTTCACATACTCACTAATCCACCAGCAGAATAGTGGAATAATGGATAGTGGCTCAGATTGAGGAATCGGAGAGTTGAGTTCAAATTACAGTCAAATCCATTATATTCACTTACATGCTAATACCCTTGGGAAAAGTATTAATCCTCTTCTTCTCCCTTCAGCTATGGGTAAATAGCAGGACAGACCGGGTTCTATAGCCTTAGATGGTAACTGGTCTAGATGGACAACTCTGAATTCAAAACCTGCAGACGGTAGTTTGGGGACCTTGTGGCATGTAGTGTACCAGGTCTCTGTGTTCAGCTCTTCAAAACGTCTGGTTGGTTCTGCACAAAGTCTTCACCACTATATCAAATCATATGCTAGTATCTGGGCTGTCGGTTCCTAGGAACTGAGCTGCTTGACCCTCATATATTGAATACAACGGGAGAGGCCACCATATACTAAACAAAACTGACTTCAGATTCTGTGACCAACACGTGTTTATTATTCTGCAACTTTAATTTTCTATTATTTTTAGTATATTATAAAAATAATTTTATAAAAATAATACTATTTTTAGTGTATTATATGTATTCTAAGTATATATGTATCTTTTAGTAAATAATTTTATAAAAAGTTTATAAAATTAATACTATTCTAATGCTATTTTGTCAGGAAATATAACAATTGATAAAATATTTTAATACTATTTTTAGTGTATTAAAAAAATAATTTAACAGCCCAGCAATGACTCCAAGATAAGCACAAAGTCTCTAGGCAAAATTTTGTTTTATATTAATCAAATTTTTTGTGATTCCTTCAGATTAAATTTGTGTTATGGATAATATTAGTGTTTATTATTTAAAAGAGAGCCATAGATCACTTTTAAATATTTTTTAATATGATTATGTGGGAGAAGGGACAAGTTCAGAATATGAACAATTTGTACAGATTTTCAATAAATATGTCTACCTTAGAAAAATGGCTTTATTTCAACAAGTAACATTTTTCATTTGAATGTTCTGTCCATCTAATAGTATAGAATCAGGAAGAGCATTATATTCTTGACTGCCTCAAAAGATATCTCAGAAGAACCCCCACCTGAACTGGGCATTCTGCTATTCAGAAAAATGTCATAAAAATTTCACCATTAAAATCACATGGTGTTAATTACCTTACATAAATATGCTGAATTTCTAAGCATAGCTTACATGTGGCACAAGGCCAAAAATATGGGTTGTACAGTGAGGTTTAAACTTATTATTCAGTTGTAATTGTTCTAGCGAAACAAGCTTGCTAACCATTACACAATATCAAGGTGTCCAAATGATTTTCAAGCATAACTTAGTATGTGACACAAGGACAAAAATGTGGGGGTGCCCAGCGAGGATCAATCTTACTACTCAGTTGTAATTGTTCTAGCAAGCCAAGCTTGCTATCCATTACACCATGTTGAGGTGCCCACTACCTTACATGAATATGAATGAATATGAAGTTGTGGAATGAATATGAAGTTGTTATGGATTTTGATTTATTAATCTGACATATTTTTATTACTTTAAATGTTATTTTTAGTGGATACCCATATTTGAGTAGACTCTCCATTTATTTTAAACAGTATTTTATTTCATCTATGGGCCTGAACATTCGAGAAATCTTATTAAAGAAAAATGTGCTCTCCAACAGGATTCAAACCTTCATCCTTCTTTGCAGGAAAAACAACTTAATCACGATGGTAGTCAGATCTATAAATGTTCTTATTTTAGTATTACACCTATTTCCACTGATTTTCAGTCTGCACTACCCAGCCCAGGGATTGAACTTACAATCACTACTTCTATTTGCCATGTCCTTTCTGGACTTGGACGATCATGGCTCTCTACAACTTCCTGTCCCTTGTAGCCCTTAGTAAAGTTTGTCCTTTTGTTATACCGCTTAATCCCTGTACTGAAAACCATTTACACAAGCTCGTTAGCTAGGTTACGCTCTGCCTTCCTGTCCCACTTGCCTTCAATATGTCCTGTGAGTCTCAGATTTTCCAAGTCCTCTTTCCTCATTATATGTCCTAGAAATGTCAACTCTCACTTTCCGATTTGAAGTGTAAGTATATTTTTCTATTTTCTCTCAAACCTTGTTATTGCTCATGTGGTATTCTCAGCATCCTTCTATAGAACCACATTTCTGTTGCCTCAAGTTAGTTGGTTGGTTGTTTTCTTTAACGGCATTCCAACCTTAGTGTTGCCTCAAGTCTCTTCATCTGTGAGATGGTCCAGTATTCACTGCTATATAGAAGTATGAATAATTCAATACTGTTTTCTTTGTTTCCAATGAAATTTTCCTGTGTCTTAATACTTTGCTTAACTTTTGTAAGACATCTTTCACTATCCCAATGAGCCTTCAGATATCTTAAATATTTTTCTTTTCTCTCAAACCTTTTGCTCATGTGTTATTCTCAACATCTTTAGAACCCATTTCTGTTCCTCAAGTTAGTTGGTTGGTTGTTTTCTTTAGCCATTCAGAGTGTTGCCTCAAGTCTCTTCAGAGATTTCTGTATCACTTATATAAGTATGAATAATTCAATACTGTTTTCTTTGTTTCCAATATCAGTGTCATATTTCTGATCCTCTGCTAAAACACTTCTTAGATATTTAAATTTTTGCACTTGCTTAATTTTGACATCTCCAGTTTGTAATTTACATGTTGGGCTGTCTCTTTTGCTGACAACCATACATTCTGTCTCCTTACACTTCATTAGAAGGTCAGTGGGTGAAACAGTTAAAAATGTGATAATAACAAAGGTGAGGCCATTAGACTGAAAGTAAATAAAAACATATAAAATAAATTTTTTCCCCAAGAACTTTATTTCCCACTTTTTAGATGAGTCAGGTAACATTAAACAGTATTTAGCAGATATTGCTATAATAGGAGAGAGCTAGGAAAGAAACATTTATTCTCTCATATATTTCCCCCATTATGAGCATTATTTTATCCCTGATATAATAACACAGTATTTCTCGGACAAAACAGAATGGATATAAGGAAAAGTAATGGCAAACAAGCTTGGTTCTCAGAGAGACTTTTATATTACTAAGACATACACAAATCTATATATACACAAGTGTACCATGTGATGAATAATATATCACATACAGGGTGTGATGGATAAAGTGTCTTCTAAATTACACAAAAAGAAAAATAACACTGACATCTCATTTTAACAGATATATTCTGTTAGACGGTGCCCAACTGACTCTACTATACTGTGCAGTCAACAAAATCAAAAACAAACAACGCACATGTATGAATTTAAAAATATAAAATGGCGACATTTTACCCACTGCACCCTGTACATCTACACAGCAAAGCAGAGTGTAAGAAGAAAGAAAACAAAGGGTCTTACATATAATATGGAGATACTCTTATCTGGAGAAGCCATGTTTAGGACTCCAGATTCAAACAAACCGGATTCAGCTATGTCCCAGGCAAAGACATATTCCACAAATGGGAAACATCAACTCTTGGGTTTTCCCAAATTGAGGACTGTAAGCTGGAGTTTCTATATCTGGGAAATATATATTCCCAAAGAGAAACAGTACCTTGGACTTAGACTGGGAAGGCAGTTTTAGCCTCTACCCAGGACATGGGGGTCTTCAGCTAAAGAAAGCAATCTTTCGGTTTTGCTACTGTAAACCGAATGAATTTGACTGCCACTTTCATCACTCTATGGGGTGATGTCACTAGGCAGCTGTCATGTGACTCGCATGACTTATCTCTCCTAAGGGGAGATAAGCGCCTTATGTGTTCCTACATTGCCTTAAAGCATTCAAAGTATTTTTTAAATTAGCAATAAGACCACTAAGACACAAGAGATTAGTGAGAGTAAAATAAAATGAGACAGTACTAGTGAGATGAGCCAATAAAAGAACTGGATCAAAAAGACAAAAGATGGCAATTAATGTTGTATTTACATTTTTGGAGATTCTATTTTATAGGAAAGCAGGAAGTTGGAACAGGAAGTTCCACAGGTGAGAAGTGCAAGAGAAGAAACTATGAGAATAGGTTCTTTTGTTACTTTATAGACTAGATGAATATATACTTTTAAGCACATCTATATAAGGTTTTGCTTATAAAAAAATAGTAAATGAAATTAAGAACTAAAAATAGAAGAGATTTACAAAATTTACCTCTACTTCTGCACTATTGGCACAGGAACCTTCACCAGTGGTACAACTCTTGAATGTGAGACTGTCAACAATCCAAAGAGAAACAGTTGCCGGCCAGTTACCTCCTGAAAAAAAATAAATAAATAAAAATCTCATATAATAATTCTGCTTGTCTCTCCTTTAGTTTGCACGACCGTTACGCCCTGCCAGTACCTCATAAATAATGGATATTCCATTTTGAACACATGAACACATGAAAGACAAAAAATAACAGAGAGGCTACTTGGTTTCACTGAGAAAATGAAAGAAGGAAAGATAGAAGTGCTTAAAGTTTGTTTTAGTGAATTGGGAAAGAGTTGTCAATTTCAAATCTTCTCATGATTGTTATTGCAATATAAAAATGACTGCCATTTGAATATATATGTTGTTAATACCAAAGATTGTACCATGAAGTTGGGAAACTTCAAAATTATTAATTTTGATGAAAAATAGTAAAACTGTAGAATTATTATTATTTTGAATTATTTGACAGAAAATTTTGGTATTTTTTCTTACTCAATTTTCTCAAGACCTGGACAAAAAGGATTAAAACTAAAATAAATAGACATTACATCTAAATTGGACTAAAACCTGTTTAAAACTAAAATAAATATATATATATATATATATAATATATATTAATAAAATATATATATTATATATATATATATATATATATATATATATATAAATATTTTATATATAGCCTTATATATACACATTTCATAGTGAGGACACATGGCACAGTAGATAAAGGCGTTGGTTAGATCAGTGACAGACCCAAAGAAGGTGAGTTCAATTCCTGGTTAAAGCAGTGGAGAACTTTCAGAGGGAAAATTAGCAGGAGATAACTGATAACTGACATCCATCAAACATGGCACGTGGAACTAGAACAGTCTACCCCAGTGATCGAAATAAAGGGTTCAGTTCGAAATTCCAACCACCTGAAGAAGGCCGGAGCGTACAACGGCCGAAACGTTGCCTCAAATATGAGGACAATAGTTCGACTAATGTAAATACTGTACATAATACCTCATCTCAGAAATATAGACAGACTCTGGGAAAGAGTATTATGGACAAATGAAACCAAAACTGAGTTGTTTGGACGTAATTCTAGAAATCGTGTATGGAGGAAAGATGGTGATGCCTTCAGACAAAAGAACAGTGAAATTTGGTAGTGGCAATGTTTTTCTGCAAAAGGTATTGGCTACATATGAATAATAGATGTTAGAATGAATGCTGTAGCATATCAAAATATTTTGGAAGCAAATTTAATGATTTTGGTTGAAAATCTTGAACTTCCTCTTGACTGGATCTTCCAACAAGATAATGATCCTAAGAACGCTGCAAAATCTATGAAGAAATGGCTTGCTGAAAATAATGTAAATATCCTGAAATGGCCAAGTTAGTCCCCAGATTTAAACTCAATTGAGAATCTGGGGCGTTATTTGAAAATTCAAATCCAATCAAGAGCTCCAACATCCCAGATCTGAAGATCATATGCAAAGAAGAATGGAACAAAATAGCAACTAAAGTTTGCAAATCATAAATTGAGAACTACAAGAAGAGGTTGATTGCTGTAGAAGTGAATAATGGCTATTCTACAAAGTATTAAATAAAGATTATGTATTCTTTTTTTGTATTGTACAAATACTTTTTTCATTAAAATGGATAAATGGGATTTATTTCTATTAAATCAAATTATTTTGTTTTCTATGTATATTTAGCTATTATGCATCTGTGTACAGTTACTTATATGAAAAGTATGTTCATTCATTAGTTGGAAATTCAATTAAAAATTTATGAATTTTTAATTCAATATAAAGACTGTAATGGTTAAACAATTACTTGGGACTTCTACAAGCAATTTATCTTTTCTGCAAATTTTAACAAACAAATGTTATTTGAAAAAAGAAATGAAGAAATGGTAATTTACCCAAATTATTTAAGGTATTAAGAAGAGTCATGTATGATCCCCCAATAGCTGGGTCACTGACTTTTGCATCGAAGGCCATCACTGCCACAAACATACAGAAGACTGTTACCTGCAAATAAAAATTGGGTATTTAAATATTCAACAAGAATGGTTGATTAATATTAAATATTTTTATATCATTTCAAGACATAAAAATTGAATAAAAAATATAATTATTTACTAGCAACTGATTTTCTTTTTTTTTAAATCAATCTGTAAACATTTAAAGTGATTATGATTTATGATTAAATAAACCAATGTTTAATACAATAAGTTTCATTGGTAATTGTTTAACAAACATTTCTAGTAATCAACCAATCAACATCTTGCATAATGGCTGTAAAAAGAACACTTTTGTTTGCATTTATTATGTACAACAGAATTTATTTGTAATCAGTTAATTCTTGATCCTCATATTTTTTGATCCTGATACCATTTCTTGATCCTCATAGAGGTTCTTGATTCTAATATTACTTCTTGATCCTCATAGATTTTCTTGATTCTAATATCACTTCTTGATCCTCATAGATTTTCTTGATTCTAATATCACTTCTTGATCCTCATAGATTTTCTTGATTCTAATATCACTTCTTGATCCTCATAGATTTTCTTGATTCTATTTCTTGATCCTCAGATTTTCTTGATTCTAATATCATTTCTTGATCCTTACAGATTTTTTGATTCTAATATCAATGTAAATAAAAATCAATAATTGCTAAAAGCAGAAAATAGCCAGGAAGACTTGCCTTCAAGTTATTTACATAGCTCAACTTAGCGTGAAACAAGGTTAAATTCATATGCACCCAGTGTGAATCAAATTCACTAAACTGGAAAATTATTCTTCAAGAAAGGAATGTTAATTATTGGTGTATGGATAATACCCAGAAGTTATTAGCTAAACTTTATTTAGTCTGACACTAGGCACAAGTAGTAGACCATTCAGTGAGGATTAAACTCACTACAACTGCAATCTTATCAAATAGGTAAACTTGCTAACCATTGTACCATTGTAGATACCATTTTGAAGCATACGATTATTGAAAAACGTAAAGAAACACTTAAATATTAGCAACAAAGTTGAATTGTTCTGTTACAAAAATAATGGTTTCTTCCGTGGAAGTTTTCATGGCTTCATTAAATTACTATAAAAAATAATCTGAAAGGTTTCTTGAAACATCTGATTTTTTTAAAGTCTTAAAATTTAAAAAATTATATAAACTCATATGTATGGTAACAGTCTGTTGAAAGAATTATTAAAAATTTAATATATCTTGCTTGTTTTTTAATAGAGCAAACTAATATTTACATTCAGAATGTTGTCCTCATCTTTGTTGATATTATCACAGTGTTTCAGTCATCGTGCCTTCCAACCTTCCTCAGGTGTTTAGGGATCCAAGAACAGTAGGCTTGTGGATAAAAGCAGTGGTTCATGAAACTGGTGTCATAGTAATTGTGAATTTAATCCCTGGGGCAGGTAGTACAGATGTCGACTCATTGGAAACAGGATAAGCAATAACTTAGCAGTACTAAATGTAATATCGCTAGACATTGACAGTGGAATGAGAACAAATTATTTTCAAAAATAAAGTTCAAAATTCCCATAGATTATATTAATTTTGAAATTACTTGAAGGTTACCTGGATCAACAGACATCTAATAACAACAAAGATGAGGACAATAGTCCAAATGTAAATAATGTAACTCTTCATCCTAGAAAGACATACTATATTAATATTTTAATTACTGTAATTACATCTATAATACTAACCCTCTTGTTTCTGAAGGTCAAACACTTAAATATATATTTGCTTTTTTTGTATAACACTTTTACAGAAGGATTTATCTCTTGTGAAAAAAGCACTGTTGCAAATTTATTTTTAAAAATTATGTCCCATTTTCTCATTTTAAAAGCTTTCTTTTCTTAGTTTCTCTTTTAGTAGACATATTTTAGAAGCCAGTATAAATTGTGCTCGTGTATCTTTGACTGCTTAAAAAGTAGTAAAAAAAAAAGTTTCAGTCAAAAAAAAAATGTATCCACCAGTAATATACAGAGGTTAACAATTCATAAGTTATCAAGAGTTGGTCATTTATAAAATATACCACAGAAAGGTAAGGCCACTTCAGATACCTGTTATTTCGGGGGAGACAAAATTGTCAAAATATTATATTCATGTGCAATGCAATCCCCCAATTTTGGATTTTGAAAGAAACATCACCACACACACAATCATATATACAGGGTGCGATGGGTAAATTTTTTTGATTTTGTCGACTGCACAGTATAATAGGGTCAGTTGGGCACCATCTGTAAGAAAAAGAGCACCATGACACAATTCTCTCTGCCAGAAATTTTGAAATGACATGCTGTACTGCTTGGCATTTGCAGCGGAAGTCCCAATGCAAGCATTTCAGAGTGTTTGGGTGTCACAATCTGAAGACAGTGCAGAGTATTCAAAAAGAGTTGGATGAGTCTAATGGTGATTACAAAGGTACGGATGCTGGGAAAACACATTTTGATTGTTCTGATGAGAAAAGAACTTCCGAATTTGTTGGTGAGAACCTCAGATTCAACACACAAGCCTACATCAATTGCCTTGAGGAGGTAATGCTGCCCTGGGTCAACATGGTGGCTGTTGAAAGACCCTATGTCTGGTAACAGGACTATGCACCATGCCACACAAGCAGGAGAACCCAGTCACGGCTGTCAGACAATTTCTGCGACCACATCACCCCTTACATCCAGCCAGACAGCAACTCCCTTGATTATTATGTGTGAGGTCCAGTTGAGCGAGAGACAAACAAAACTCATTATAACACCAAAGGTGAACTGAAGGAAAGGATTATGTTAGCATTCACCAACTTAAACAAGGAGACTGTCCAGCAGTGTTGCAGGAGAATCTGAAGTTGTCTGGATGCCATAGTTGAAGCCAATGGCAATTTTATTGAATAAATTTAATCTTTAGTATTTCCAGGTATTTTTGTGTAATTTTAGTAAATATATGTTAAAATAAGATATCAGTGTTATTTTAATTTTGAAAAAATTTAGACAATTTATTCATTGCACCATATATATATATATATATATATATATATATATATATATATATATATATATATATATCTTGGTTATGTGGATAATCCCAAGGAGTTACTAAGAAATGAATATCCAGGTAAAACTCCTAGTAGAGAGCTCAATATATGAGAATAATAACAAACCATACAGAGCAATATAGTTAAGAAAAATTTCAAAGAAAAACCTTACATTTGAATTTTTCAGTAATAAACTTATTTCAGCAGTTGGTTTATACTACATCTTCAAATTCAGTTGATTTAAAATAAATTGATTTAAAAAAAAGAAAGAAAAAAAAGAAAAGATTTGTGATAGCGGAAGGCAATAATTGACAGGAACAGGTAAAAATGAAGACAGAAGGAAGAGGAAAATATTTTGTTGGGTGAATGGGCATGGAGTGAGTTTTTAATGAAACTGTTCCAAACATCTCTTCTGTCAAATGCCATAAAAATAGCTGATCTTTTTAAAAAATATATATAGTAACTGTGGCACAAGGTTGAAAGTATGTTATTTGAAAAAAACATACATTTGAATACAGAAATAATTTTATATATATATATATATATATATATATATATATATATCTCGTAAATTTTGATTAATGCCTCTATAGCAATCTCACAAAATTCTAATAAGTTCCCATACGTGAGAGCACCTGGAAGTACACAGTCCCTAATTTTTAAAGTCATTTACTAACAAAATCAACTGATTCTCAATTTCTGTTTGAATTTAAACACGAAAAAAATAAACAGATTATCTCCCTTGCATCAATGTTGCTATGATTCAGTCAAGTTAATGTAATTTTAATTTTCTTTCTGCTATATAGCATAATCATAGGCACTGATATTCAAAGAACTTAAAACGATTACTTGCTTACTTATTTTAGTGCATTATTTTACTTACAATTATTGCCAAACAATAGTCAGTACTTAGCATACTGTAAATCAACAGTGCCTTTTTTTTTATGACTTTTTTACATTTGCATAAGTAAAAAAGTAATAATTCTAAATAATGCAATTAATCAAAATAAATGCTGCCAAGTTTGTAGCTATATATATATATATATATATATATATATAAAATGGCTGGATACTCATTTCTGAGCACACTTGTCTGCTAAGGCAGCTCGCCAATCCTTACTGCAGATGCCTGCTCAGGTACATTTGTTTTTTTTTTTTTCAAAATCAACAGAGCCCACCTGTGGTTTATACTACAATTATGTTGAGCAGACCTTAGTTACAGTCTCTGGTAGAGAGCACATAATATGGTATGATCAACAGTATAAATAAGGCCTGTGCACTCAAACCATCAGTCATGATGACAGTTTACAGACAGTTCTATCTACCCACTTTCACTTACAAAGCTTGAGTAAATCAGTGCTATGGTTTTCAAACCCTTCCCAAAAGATGCTGCATGCTGAGATCCTCTACTCAGGCTGAAAACATTAAGAAGTTAGCTTCCTGGCAGATTGACCATAGAAAGATCTGAACCCAAGTCTCATGGTCACAAACATTTTGCTTTAAATACTCAGCCACACACCCATATATATTTATATGTATATATTCACACACAGAGAAGGAAGGTGCTACCCAAAATTTCTGGAAATTTAAATCTGGTTGTTCTATGCAATACTTTGCAAACCTAACAAGTTCAGCTAGTTCCCACGTCTTCTTTTACGAAGACAAGGGAAACCACATCTGAGGGAAAGTAATTATCTAATGCTCAAATCTCCAAAACTTTTGAGGAGCTATATGTTACATATTGATATTTGATATTATTTTTCATTCCAAATCACCCAATCTTTTAATCCCATAATGTTCTGTCATTTGAATAAATTATAATGGTAGTAAAGAACACAGGCAATGAAAAACTAATTAGATAATTAGATTACTTACCTGATGCAAAGCATAAAGTAGTATAGCTCCAACATAAAAGTAAAACGGATAGACACCAGGTTCCACTGCTACTCTGGATGCCATGTATACAAGACCAGCATATGGAATAGCCATTAATAGTCTTAAAAAAGTAAAAATTGGAAAGAAACATTAGACAGTCTTTCAGAAAATTTTGCCTCATAAATGGAACTAAAAATACAATGTTTTAGAAATTTTTGCATTTATTAAACTGAAACTGTCACCCTAAAAAAATAAAAATTGTCAACTTCAAAGAAATAAAAAGAAAAATTGACAACTTCAAAGAAAGAAAAAGAAAAGGAAATTTCCTCCAAAATCAAGCATCTTTTAATGTGAGACTAACTGAAGTAATGTTAATCAAATACATTGTTAATTAACAAATTCTAACTTCACAATATAAGTGCATGTAAACATATGAATTACTTACAATCAAAAAGAGAGTAATCAAGATGAAAAGAGGCTGAGAAAGTCAATAAATGATTCCAGTTGATGAAAAATGGTTTAATCAATACTTTATTGCCTAAAATCCACTTTTTGTAATAAAAACATTGCATTCAGATAAATTAAGAATTATACAACACAACAGTTACAAAAATTTTGGTCAACTCTTGAGAAATTTAAGAATGCAGAATTTAATCAATTTTTGGCAAAGTTAAACATATGTACCTGCAATACTGTAGACTCCCTCAGCAATGTTTATTATTTTAAAAAGCTATTTTTAGAATTTTAATAAAACCTAAACATGAAACTGGATTTATGCATTCCCTTTCTTCTCAAGAATAGACAACAAAAATATTTAACACTATTTTTGAAAATAAACAGTCTAATAAATAAATAGTGTTTAATATATTTGTTCTCAACTCTTGAGAAAAAAATATAAATCCAGGTGCTTGCAAAGTATTTTACCAAATTTAAGTGATGAGAGCAAATGAAAGAAGTACCATGAAAGTGTCTTTTTTGTAAAAATTTATTAGTTATTCGTTGCTTTGTGTTTAAATTCTCTTGTTTGCAGACACTTTTATAAAATTATGAATAAAATATTTGTTTTTGTAATTACTTCTTTATAATATACTAAATAAAGATTGTGTTGTAGTCAGTTCACATACTTTTTATAAACTTGTAAATATAAAATTATTCTTTCCAATAATCTAATAAAATAACATTTACTGTCTATATCTCTGAGGTGATGTATTATGATTATTTACATTATTCAGACTGTTATCCTCATCTGCATTGCCATATTCACAACGTACGCTCTGGCCTTCTTGAGGTGATCAGAATTTCAAACCGAACCCTTTATTTCATCCATCAGGGTAGATTGTTCTAGTTCCATATGCCATGGATAAAGATGTTGGTTAGATCCAGTGACTAGACCCTAAGAGTTGTGAGTTCAATACCAGGCCACAGCAGTGGTGAACCAAAAACTTGGAGAGTTGAGTTAAAGGGAAACAACTGAGACACCTGGAAAAGCCATGGCATGTGGAACTAGAACAATCTACCCCAGTGGACGAATTAAAGGGTTTAGTTCGAAATTCCAGTCACCTGAAGAAGGCTGGAGTATGCAACAGGTGAAACATGAAACAGTACGAATAATGTAAATAACACTTACTACTGTCAATGTTGTCATTTTCTAAAGAACAAAAGAAGAATTCATAAATCTAGTTTGATGTTTGGGTTTTATTAAAATAATGTAAATAGCTTTTAAAAACAATAAAAATTGCCATGGGAGTTATACAGCAATAGCAGTGTCAAGAGAAAAACCTTCCTTTTCGTACACCACTTTTTTGTGCAGTTACATATGTTAAAATTTGCTTATTTTTTTATAACAATTTTTAAGAGACACTAACTCCCTTCCAGAGATGTTGAATTAGAGGCCATTGATAAAATGCAAGATAAATAATACAAACAGAATTAATAAAAGTTTGCAATGAAAAGAACAAAGGCAAAAAGAATGAAACCACAACAATCATGAAAGTAAGCACACAATATATTTAAAGCAAATCAACAGGTATGAAAGCAAAAGAGTTCACAAACTATGAGTTGGTGTTTGCACACAAAAGCAAGGTCAGACAAAGGAAAGCAGTAGGTCTGTTTGGTAGATAAGGCAAATCTGGGCTGAGTCATTTCAAAAAGCAAGCTGTCCCATTTTATTAACTAAGAAAAATATCCCAGTATGCATTTCATGTACATCTGACTACAAGAAGGGGAAAGTTTTGAAATCATTCCCCTGTCCCATGAAATCATCAAGAGTTAAATAATTTTTCCAATTGGACTACAGGAAGTAAAAGCGTCAAAATTTTGTTAACTTTTGAATATATTTTTTTTCACCCCAAGCAAGACAAAGTCACAAAGATACTAGAGGTTACAGGGTGTGGAAGTAGGAACAGAAACATTAATAATGAGCAGGAAAAAGACAGTAGATAATGATTGGCATTACATTTAAATTTTTGTAGATTAAAGTTGGCTGGAAGGGAGTTCCATAAATGAAAAGTGCAAGAAAAGAAACTGTTAGCATAGAATTTACGGTTACAACTAACCAACACAACTGTGAATTGATGAAATTGCAATACTGCACTTAAATTCAAAAAGTCTAGGTACCACAGCAAAGAATTCATCCAAACAATTAAGATGAAAGTATTTATAGAAATGAGACAGAGAAGCAAGCATTTGGCGGGAAAGTGGCTGAAGCCAAGTTGCCAGATCAGGACCAATAATATTGCTGATTCGTCTTTGGATTTTATTAAGGAGTTCAAGGTAAATAGCAGGGTCACCAGACCTTGTATGTCAGCAATATTCTAAGCATAAACAAATGGTAGACTTATAGATATGTAAGATAGATTCTGAAGAGAAAATTGTCTCACACAACACAGTATAACGATAATAGATTACCAAACTCAATATTTGTTTCAAAATGATGAAAAGTTAATAACAGAAATACTTACCGACAGGGCATGGCATTCAAATAAATATTCATGGGTTTGGGTCCATTGGTATATCTGCTTATTATTAGAGGCAGGATGATTTGTATGGGAATCAATGGGATGGCAAACAATGCCAGTCGTTCTTTTGGTACCCCAGCTTCTACCAACTTCAAACCAGTCAGGGAGTCTGAGGCAGCAAATCCAACCTGAGAATTGCAAAAATACAAAAATGTACACAATGTAATAATATAGTATTATACAAATTTTGTCATTAGGAAGATAAATGAGTACTGAACAGCCTGAATTTAAAACACAAGACCTAAGGTTCAAGCCTTTATGCCAAGCATGAAATACTAAGGAATTATTATTAAAACACTTACAAAATAACATGACTTAATAAAACATAACTGAATGGGTCTTAAAAACAATAAAGGATTAACTGATTATATATATATATATGTATATATAGATAGAGAGAGAGAGAGACATATATTATATATATATATATATATATATATAGATAGAGAGAAGTATTTATTTATTTATATTTATCATATATATATATATATATATATATATATATATATATATATATATATATATATATATATATATATATATATATATAGAAAGAGAGAGAGAGTATTTATATTTATCATTATATATATATATATATATAGAGAGAGAGAGAGAGAGAAATTTGTATTTATCATTATATATATATATATATATATATATATATATATATATATATATATAGAGAGAGAGAGAGAGACAGTATTTGTATTTATCATTATATATATATATATATAGATATAGAGAGAGAGAGAGAGAGAAAGAGAGAGTATTTGTGTTTATCATTATATATATAATATATATATATATATATATATAACCAATTTGTGACTATTAGGGATAATTCCAAAGAGGATATTAATCCGGGGAGAGCTCAATGTAAACTACAGAGCATTATAATAATCAAGAAGAAAACTTTAAAGCTTTTTATCGTTTATAATTTATTTTGTGAATATCTATATATTCATGTCTTCAGACCAAAATCTTTTAGTAAATGGAGACAATTCCCCTGGATTGATGTATTAAATTGAAGGGAAAGCAAGAGAGAATAGACGAAAGAAGGAGAGGAAGAAGAAAAGTGACAGATGGTCAAGTTCTTTTAAAAAGTTAGAGTGAGAGAGAGAGGGTAAGGAAAGAAAAGGGAAGAAGGAAGTGTTGAGTCAGTAGCAGTAAGCCTAAAATAGAATGACCCGGCCAAGAATTTTTTTTTTTAAAGTGTGGAACTTTATACATATGGTTATACAGCAAATTGACCAATATGGCCTGTTATTTTAGGTAGGAGAAATCTGCAGAATTTCAAATTAGTTAGTCTAATAAAAGGAGCCCTTAATACAAATAATAAATAAAAATTACAAGAATGATAATAATATCAAACATAAATGAAGGGATTTTAAATACAGATAAATAATAAAAAGTAAAAATAATAATACAAAGGTTGTTAATTTAGAATTATAAATGTTGTGTATATTGGCAGGACAGTCATAGATCCAACTACATATAAAGAAACACACAAAAAAAAAAAAAAAAAAACCATGTGATATGCAATATAAACACACATACACATGAATATATGTATACCCATATGTGCTAGCACCCATATAAACAAATCAACACTTAAAAAAAAAAAAAAAAAAAAACGTTTTTAGCAAATTTTAAATTTGTTCTTATGTCTACACTTGAAAATCAGTTCATTTTTTGATTTAACAACTGGTTAGTATTTCTGTATTTGATTATTGCAATAATCAAACATATAGAAATTCACAAAATAAATTATAACCAAAATGAATGTTTATGGTTTTCTTATTGATGATTATTATTATTATATATATATATATATATATATATATATATATATATATATATATATATATATATATATATATATTTTCATGTTTGAATGCAATCTCCAGGCGATGTGGGTTGGATAATAGCTTAACTAGTTATATATGCTAGACACTGAAGCATTATGGGTGGCAAGGTCAGTTATTTTCTATTTATTGTTATTCTAACAATTATTGAAATTGTAGAATCACTAATTATGGGGAAGAAAGCAATTATTTTACAGCTATTGTACAGAGTTGTTTACTAAATTTAAAATCACAAGTATTAATTAGTGTATTTTGTGCTTATTCATTAATTATTCGCTACTGATTAAATTTATTTAGTTGTAGTTATGAGTGTATTCATAAGGTTTGTTCATTTCCTCATTTTTATTTTTTTAATTTATTTTAAATTTATTAATTTTTTTGTGGGGGTGTTTTATTTGTTTGTCTGGTTTAAGGCATTGTTTTTATATATAATGTATATTACATTATCTGCATGTATATATAATACATATATTTGCAATATTTCTTAGTGAGGTTTTAGTGATATTAGATTTTAGTTAACAATTTTTAAGTAATTTTTTTTCTTGTATCTACATTTTAGGATATGTTCTGATCTTTTATTTAATAATTTATTTTCTCCTTCAAAGTTTACAGTTTTTAGAGTTATTGCAGGTTTGTACTGTTTTCCTTATTTTTGGTATATTTTGGCTTCTGTTTTTAAGTTTCCCTATGTGTTGTGCTGTTCATCCATTTACACTTGTATAGTATGCATAGTTTATGTTTCCAGGGTCCTTCAGTTACTCTTATGTATATTTTTACTTTGTTATCTGCTGTTTTTAAATTGGCTTGGTAAATTATATTGCTTTGCAGGCAATTCCCATTTTTAGGGACACTCATGCTTTACTCTGAAATTACAGGTGAGTTTGGTTTGTGTAGGTGATTTGTTGATTTTTTTGTTGTGCTCTTTAATTATTTGTCATGTTCTCAGCATCACTGATTTTTAATATGTTTGTATTCAATATCTTGTGCCGAGTACTTGATGGATGGAATTGTTTGTGGATGAGTTTAATGAATATTTTCCCTATGTTTGTTTTTCCATTTTTGTTGTACAGTGGGCTAAACCATATGTTGTTTCTTTTTCTGTTGGCTTTTTTTTTTTTGGTACTGTGTGGTGTGCAGGAGAATTTTGCTGAAAATCCACTTTCTTTTAGAATTGTTTCATAATCTTTTTGCATAAAATTCTAAGTAAATCATCTTTAATAAAAATAAAGATAAACACATACACACAGATTTTTCTGCCTAGAAATAGAGTGTAAAAAAATAGCGTAAAAAATAACTAAAATATGAATTTATTCACATATAACTATTTAAATTGAAAAAAAAAAATGTATAAAATAATTGTAAAGTGTGTGGAAGAAATGCTTCTCAGATAATGGTAAAAGAGTAAGATGTATTTTTGATGCAACCTGTATATTGGTCTACTTTTTAAAGAGATATAGAAATTTTTATCAATATAAAATGAATTTCTTGTTCTAACAAACCCATGCAAAACTAATTTTGAATAACTGCAATAATAGTTAATAGACAATCAATGGATTTTAGTAATAACCTATAAAAAATCCATTTTACTCTTTTAAATCCATGGTTTTATTTAAGATATCAATGTACAAAACAGCTATTTTTACCTTTGAAGTGAGAAAGATTACAGCAAGGGAGAGAACTGCAGGCAACTTGATGACTTTGATCAAAACTTTATAAGTGTCAATAATTCCAAGTTCTAAATGTTCTTTTTCTGGTTTCTCTGGCTTCAGAAAAAAAACTAACGTTGTGGTTACAAAGAATACAATACCCCAGAAAAATAAGAAACCTACAAAATAAGAAAATATAACATTAATGATTAGTCAATCTCACAAAATAAAAATAATGAAATTTTTATTAAAATATTAATAAAATTCAACAAATTTTAACACAAGTAAAATAAAAGAATCTGAATTTATATAAAGGAACCTCAACTTACAAACATCTACACTTATAAAAAATTCGCCATATGAAAAAAAATTTGTCAAAATATTTTATTCCACTTAATAATTAATTTCAACTTACAAAATATAAGAATGGGCTTCCGACCACTGCATTTCGAACTAGATATTTCATATAAATGTACCATAAATACTTATTAATCTTATCTAAATATATTGTATTTTATATTCTTGTTTTATATATTACATTATTATAATATTGTAGTATTATACAGTATTACAATACTTTTTATACTGTATCTTTATATTTTACTGTATTCTACTAAATAATTGCAGATATATGCTGAAGTGGTTAGCACCTTACTTCCTATGATCTACCCTCTGACAAACAATATGGTTTCCGCTTTGCCGAGTCTACCACCGACGTGTTTAAGGCCAATAAATGAATCTGTATACCAAGCTCTTGATAATAATGTCAGCTTCAGGGATATGGTATTACAGGATGATTATTTGATTCAATCGAATTATTCCTGTCAAACCTTGAAATGAAAGTCGTCCTAAACGGGTTATCCTCCAGTTCCTTTCATGTGAATGCTGGCATTCCCCAAGGCCCTATCCTGGGTCCTAAACTGTTTCTGATTTTCATCAACAATCTTCCTGATGTCATCAGTTCTCAAATAGGCATCTATGCAGATGACACTACTATTTACTCCTGTCTCAATAGTAAATCCAGCATTGCTGACAAAATTAACTTGGTGGTTGGTCTTGAAAACGTCCCTGGCTCTTATCAGCATGGTTGATGCTCAACTTCACAAGAGCATCTCACTGCACTTTCTTGGTCTCACTTTTTCCACTGACCTTGAGGTGGAACAACTACATTGAATCAATAGCTTCATCTACCGCAAGGAAAATTGTTTCTCTGTGTCATGCCAGAAGGTTGTTCTCGTCCGAGTCCATCCTTAGAATGCTGCTGTCATATATGGTCTGGTGCCCCCACTGTTCATCTCAAGGACCTCGACAAAATCCAGAGACGAATATGCAATGTGATAGGTCACCTGGCATCTCGACCTCAGTCACTTTCTTACAGACATGATGTGGCTTCTCTCTGTCTTTTCTACAAATATTTTCATGGCAACTGCCCTTTTCACTGGTGTCCCAATTGCATGAATTTACGCGTGCTACTAGGTTGGCATCTCGGTCCCACCCTTTCACTGTCGAAACAGTTAAATGTAACCATCTCTTCTATTCCAACTGCTTCTTCTCTCGCATTTCTCAACAGTGGAACTCTCTTACTTGCTTCCCTGAGAGCTATAATCTTCAAATATTCAAATGTAATGTCAATTGACATCTTCTGATGCCTTGATTTTGACCCCCATCCTTCTATATCCTTTCCTCAAACACCCCCCTCTTTACTCTTACTTTCACTCTCTGTAACTCCTTACATGCTAGTGGCACTCCTTCCTTGCTTGTGGTGAAATGCTTAAAAAAAAAAAAATTTATACTTTATTTTTTTATTCTTATATTTTTATGTTTTATATAGTGTAAATTATTATATTTTATATACAGTACTGTATTATATTATTATACAGTACATATTTCTATACAGTTCCATCGCACTAAATGTAGTGTGATGCTACAAGCATTGCATCATTCTGCTCAGTCCCCTTTGTTACCTCATAAAATAAACATTTGTAGTGTATGTATATTTGTGATTATATTAGTGTAATTGTAAAAAAAAAAAATTAATAATGAGCAAAAATTTATATACAGTAATGAATACTGTACAGTACAGTAATGTGTAAATTTTATTAAAATTTATTGAATTAAAAGTAGATAAAATGTGACAATGCTAAGTTTGTTTTATTTAATCGCTATGTAAGTGTGTTTTAGTCTAATATACAGTGTATAAGCATTGACTTTTAAATTGATATAAATACAGTACAGTAAAAAAAATGAAAAAAAAATTATATGGTTTAATTAGAGTAAAATAAAATGTATAAAATGCAGGTATGGCATGTAAACTACGCAGTAAAATAAACTATGCATTCAGTTCAGGTTGATTTGTATGGTACATTTCATCACTGCAGTTTATTCCTTTACATTTTTTATACAGTTACTGTACTGTACAGTTTAATGTGTTACTGTACATATTACTGTACATGTACAATAAATTTTAAATTATAGTGGGTTTTTTGATAATTTTTGTAGCCCACAATGTCACCCAAGAAGCTAGTTGCTACAAAGAAGAGGGAAAATATATCCATGCAAACAAAGATCATTCAGAAGCACGAAGAAGGTATCCGTGTATCTAACCTTGCCAATCTATACAGACATTCAGCATCAACAATTATCCCTATCCTAAAGAACAAGATAGAAATAAAAAAAGCTTGATGTAGCCATTAGATCATAATTACCAAACACAGTCCAAAAACCCTAGAAGATATTGAGAAGTTGTTGTTGGTGTGGATGAGTGAGATGCAGCTCCAAGGTGATTCTGTGTCTGAAGATATTACATGTGCAAAGGCAAGGGCATTGTACATGGATCTTATCAGAAAAATGCCAGGCACATTGTAATGAAAACTCAAAGTCTAGTTTGGCTTAATGTGTCTTTATTAAGCATAACTAAAGAGTCTTTCTGTTTTGGCTAAGACAGCATGACTTATAAAAATCATAAAACAGGGGAGGTAATTGCATTTAAGGCAAGCAAAGGATGGTTTGAAAAATTTAAAAAGATAGCCAGCATCCACAGTATAGCGAGACATGGAAAGGCTGCAAGCTCTAATAAAGCTGCCTTGTTTCAAAAGAGTTTTGAAGTGACCAAAAATACAAACCTGAGCCAAAGAGAATTTTGGTAGGATCACTTTAATATCCTAAATTGCTTAAATATCATTGATAAAGCCTGGAAAAGAGTCACAGTAATATATTTATTTACATTATTTGTGTATAATCTTTAAAGAAGTTCTTTAATTTTGCATAAAATACGATTTTTATATCAATATTTTTGGGGCTTGAAACGAATTAAATGAATTTCTATTATTTTAAATCTGGGAAATTATATATATATATATAAATATATATATATATATATATATATATACACACACACACACAATGGAACCTCAATCTATGAATTTAATCTGTTCAGGAGTGAATTTGTAACTGGAAATTTCAATGTTGAAACAATTTTCTGATTTAAAATTATATATATATATATATATATATATATATATATATATATATATATATATAGTTTTTAGTTTATGTGCTATATTTACAGGATAAAGTGCTCAATATCAGAGATAGAGCATATGTAAATATAAATATAAAAGTGAACACTAAAGTCAACACTCAGAGGTGACAGGCTGTTTCATGCTAGATGCAATCGTCAGGCAGCCTGACGATTGCATCTAGCATGAAACAGCCTATCGCCTCTGAGTGTTGACTTCAATGTTCACTTTTATTTATTTATATATATATATATATATATATATATATATATATAGTACAGGTAATCAATCCATTGGTATATAATCCAGGTGGATCCCATTAATATTAATTATTAAAACTGATCCACGGAGAGCTCAATATTTTTATTTTAACAGAGCATGTGTATTTTTTTACAGCAAAAAAAAACAAAAATTATCTCAACATCGGTAATTTTTGTTTTTTGCTGTAAAATATATACATATATATATTGTTACATTAGACCAATAATTGTACCCCAACCTAAGATTTTACAAGTATATTTTTAATACCTTACATATTTGCGACAAGATATGAGAATAATAGTCGTTTCTTTATTTCTTTGAATATGCAGATTATGGAATATTTTTTTGCACCTGGTCAAACTAAAACCAGTTCTCGGAAGAGAACCTTCCTTTCCCCCACCTCCTGTCTGGTCTCTGATCGCAGGCCAGACGAACACTGCTTGTCTGATAAGTACAAGTGACCCTAATAATGTTCAATGGATAACGCCTACTCACTTTCATATGCCAACACATGACTTAACCCCTAACAGTTTTTTTTTCGCACATGTTGGGATATAACAACGTCACTTAGCCATTTGCTTTCAGAGGAATCAGATGTCACCAAAATTGGACTTAGCTGTTTGTTTTCAGAGGAATCGGACGTCACCAAGAATCAAATGACCGATGAAAGAATGTTGAACAGGAATTCTCAAACCAAAGTCATCTATACTCCTACGGTTTATCTGCGTATACTACTCACCCATGGCAAGAACTGTACGGCGTTAATCAAGGACTTATATCAAGACATTAGCAACTCTACCTTTTTCACTCGGAGAATTGAATGGACATCTTTTCTTTCAAACTTTATTTCTGATAACAATCGATCGATGTTAATCCCTACAATTTGTAAGTCTTTACATGTTTTTATATATATATATATATATATATTTTCTATAATCTGCTGTCACTATTTTTGTTTGTATTTCGTCACATTGATATATGTTTAATCAACCAATTGTACCTTTATCCCTTTTACTATTTAGTTTTGTTTTCTTTTAATTTAATACACTGTATATTTTATAAATAAAGTATTTTTATTATATGTTCTTGTGTCGTCTTCTGTTGTTGTGTCTGCATATTGTTCATTTTCTCACTGTGTTCACCAACGTCCGGAATTGGAGAACTACCCTCTCATCAGCCTTTTCATCAATCTTACATTGAACACTAGGATACTCTCACTTATTTTTTTTATTTTCTCATTGCGTCCAGGCTATCGTAGTCCCAATGAAACCCCAGGCATACAATATATATATATATATATATATATATATATAAATAACCAATAAAGAAGTTAACAAACAATACTATAAATAGCCAAAAAACTGTATCCAGATCCATAATTATTTCTATTGAATTTTATATTTACAAGAATATAAAACTTGCTTTTTCAGATAATTTTATAAATTTGTGAATAAAAGTTTATCTTTAACATTTTTCCTTATAAAATGGTAAATAATATTTTATTATAGTTGATTCACATATTTTCATAATCTGGTAAATATAAAATTATAACTGATCTGTACATCAAGGTAATGTTGATTTTGTATTAACAAATACAATATACTATTAATTTTATATATATATATATATATATATATATATAAAATGGACTCTGAGGATCTGAAAACTTAACCAATTGATTCAGTTATGAATTTTGTGCAATGATCTAAAGTGGCACTTAAGACCCACAAGTGATTTGCAAAGGAGGTTGCATATGGAACAAGAGTGAGGACTGTGAGATGAGGTTGCTTAGATTGGCTGACCTTTTAGATCTTGCTCTCACTTCTTGAAGACAATTCAAACTAGCAGATTGAAAACCACTGAGTCCACTAAGCGCTTGAGGGTGTTATGTGGTATATTGACAGCTGACAAGTTGCTCTTCAGCTTGTCTTTGTATCTAAACTATGGGTGTCCTACATTTCTGTAGCCCTGATCTAACTGGCTGTACATTAGGATCTTGGGTATCCTGTCATCAGAGATTCTCAAGAAATGACCAGTCCACCACAACTAAGGCTGTATGAGGAAAGACTGTATGATTCCTTCAATATTACACCTGTTAAACAGGTCTACATTGGATGTCCTATCTTGAAGGTTAACTCCACAGATGGCATGCAGACAGCTCTCATATATAAGTCCTGTTTTCATTATCAATGATACTTTTACTGATTCTTGACCATTGATAATACCCTTTTTTTCTGATTTTTCATGCAGTTCCCATTTATTAAAAAAATAAAATTTTTGAATGAAAAATAAATCAAATTACAAATTGTAGTACTTAATCCTTAAATTTGCTTTCTTTTTCAGTCATGAGAGATCTGTGGAACATTGGTATTGAGGGATCAACAGAACATCAGTATTGTTGGACCAATGGAATATTGCTCACAAGGAATAGCTACTTAGTAAGACTAATTGTACAAGAATAAATTTTTAAAATTTGTTCATTTTATGTAAATCTGTTTACAAAGAAATGAACGCAAATATAGAATAAAATTTGCAGTCTCAATGTGTTGTAGCGTACCTACAGACGATAATGGCTATAATACTGTATGTTGGTCTGCAGTTGGAGATTCATTGTAGAATTCACTTGACTCACTCCTAGCAGTTGATTACTTCTTCTACGCACCGCTGATGAATCTTATATGTGTTGTTCTTGTCCTAAGTATTATCTTTCATTACCAACCTTTGTGTGATTATTCTATTCAGTAAACTTCCCTAGGTTACAACACAATGTGTTCTACTCAAGTGGTATCCACTATATATAGTTTGTTAGTACAGAAAATAACTAAATTGGAGACTGAGCAGTAACATCAGTAGTCAACAATAATAAAAGCCAAAACCACACTAATATATCTTCTTCTATATGTCATGTCCTTTAAGGATGTAGATAATCATGGCTCTCCACAACTTTCTGTCGTTTGTAGCTCTCAGTATAGTTTTTTTTTTTATTGCTATATCTCTTAATCCCTGTTTTGCCAACTATTTACACAAGCTTTATACCAGGTTCAAATGCAGTCATCACAAAAGCGTACCCATACTTATTCACTTCTTAACAACACCCAAAGCCAAAATTTACTGTGTCATTATACTTGTAGCGAATGAAAATATTAGTTTAACCAATCCTGTGATATCATGGGTTACAGAAATTGAGTAGTAAGAAGACTACTTACCAGCAAGTGTGACTATACCTTCTGATTCAGGTGTCGAACGAAGGTACTTGTTGCAAAAATCAGCTGATTCTAATGCTAGAAACAGTACATTCCCAAGAAAGTAACCAGCAGTTTGTCCAATAGAGTTGCACGTACTTGCCCATCCAACATTATGCCTAATCAGAACAAGGTAAAAAAAAAAAATACAGTGAAATAATATCTGATAGATTTACAGTTGATGTTGATAATGATGACAATAATTATACCTACATTTCTATGTGGAACATGACAACACATTACAAATTGGTAACATTAAAATTAGCCATTTCTATCCAGGAAACATCTAGCATTCATTGATCGAACATTTAGTACAAGATTTGAAATTTATAAAATCTTTTTATTAAAAGAGTTTTTTTAGCAAATTAAACTCCTTATGTCTACTGTTATCATTCTTTCTTGTACTGATGTTTCCTTCCAAATCTTTTATTTTTGTAGTGTGGAAGGTTACTAGCATAATTATATAATTATTTCTTCTAATTACATGTGCTATTCATTTTAGTTGTTGTTGATGTTTAAAGTCTTCTGTTATTCATTAAAGCTCTTCATTTGTGATTCTGTAGTGCCAGTCTATAGGGACTGATAAAGGAACATCATTGAGATTTATAGGATTCATTTGCTTGTATCCATTTTTAATCATAGATCTGAAAAAATGGTTGTATATATATGATTGTTTAGATAAGAATAAATTGGATAGCAAACATGACATCCATATGATGAGGGTCTAGATCTGATGAGGCTATTTAAGAACAAGACCAAAATTTTCAGGTCAATATTTTGGTTTTGCAGCATCTTACAGTGCTTGACAAAAATACTAACGACAATTTATCCTACATTCAACTTCATTATTTCATATAATGAATTTATATTTAAAGTGTTTTGAATCTATCCATTCAACATTCTGAATTTTTATGAGTGACTTGACCCAAAGAGTTGCGAGTTCAATACCTGGCTACAGTAGTGATGAACAAAAACTTGGAGACTTAAAGGGAGATAACTGAGACATCCGGATGAAGCATGGCACATAGAACTAAAATAATCTAACTCAGTGGACGAAATAAAGGGTTCAGTTCGAAATTCCAATCATCTGAAGAAGGCCAGAGAGTACAACAGCCGAAACATCATGAACACGACAATAAAGATGAGGACAACAGTCCTAACAATGTAAATAATTACAATACCTCATCTCAGAAATATAGACAGATATAGTTAAATCTATTTATATTTCAGTCATCAGATCAAAATGCTGAAAGTGGCATACATTAATTAATTATCCCTTAAATAACAGGCATTATCAACTGATGTTTCAATGGAGATCAGAGGGTATCATCACTTGATGATTTAAACCTTTTGCTAATGATATAGGTATCATTCATTCACAATTCAATATGACTAATTGGCAACTCTGGATTTCATTTCCTAAAGTATTTGCCTGCAAATAAAGCTGGAAAAATAAATCTAACACTGTGCTAAGAAAAGAGGAAAAAAAATGATAACAACTTGGAAGGAATATTGTACATGGAATGATTCTCGGAGTATCAGACTGTTAAGAATTATTTCCTTTGTGTCTTTATTTTTATTTTCAAAAAGAGATAAATTATCATTTTTACAGTTTTTGTATATAATTAAAGCGAAAATTAACATCAAAACTACACCTTGAAAAATGAATTTTCTTGTTTTTTACTTATTTGGTGTGTCTGTTCATGCAATTCCATTTAAGAGGTAAGCAGTTACATATAACATTAGAGATTAGATAGGATGCACTGTGGAGTAGTGGATAGCAGCTCGGTTTGAGGAATCAAAGAGCAGAGTTCAAATTCTAGTTGAATCCATTACATTCACTTATGAGCTAATGCCCTTGGGAAAGGTATTAATCCTCTTCTTCTCCCTCCAGCTATGGGTAAATAGCAGGACAGATCGGGTTCTTGGATAGCAACTTGGTCTGAACCCTGAGTTCAAAACCTGTGGAGAGTCATTTAGGGACCTTGTGGCACACAGTGCTCCAGGTCTCTGTATTCGGCTCTTCAAAAAATGTTGTTAGTTTGGCACAAAGCCTTCACCACTATAATCAAATCATATGTCCTGGTGTCTGGCTGTTGGTTCCTACGAACGGAGCTGCTTGACCCTCGAATACAACGGGAGAGTCCACCATAAGATTAGATAAGTAATATCAATATTCTTGAACTGTTGTAAATAAAACAAATGTTAACTACACTTTATCTGTTACTCCAAGATTACTTATATACAAGCATGTTACTCTGAATTACTTTCATCTTTTAATGTGATTATTACTTTATATCTGAGTAGGGACAGTGGAGTAATGGATAACATCTCAAATTGAGGAATCAGAGAGCCAAGTTTGAATTTCAGTCTGTTACATTCACTTACGTGCTAATACCCATGGGAAAGGTACAAATCCATCTCTTCTCCCACCAGCTATGGGTAAAATAGCAGGACAGACTGGGTCCTATAGCCTTGAGTGGCAACTAGTCTATAAGAAGTGCAACTCTGAATTCACACCCCTGCTGCTCTGTAGGTCCTGACTCTTTAGGCAAAGGCTAGAAGAAGGTAACTTCAAAAACAAATCCACACCACATGTCATCTCAAGAAATGGAACTGCCTCCTCTTCACTACTTCAATTCGTGACAGAAAATAATAGACTCTTTGCATTTACACTATTTACATTATTTGAATTATTGTCCTCATCTTTGTCGCCATATTTATTAGATATGAAAAGAAAAGTGAGATCACCGCCCTCTGTGGGATCAGGTTGAGATCATAGACAAAGAACACCATTGGAAAATTCGTAAACTTAAGGAATCAGCACATATGCTAGGCTACAAAAATCTCCTGAGCCTGCCAAGCATAGAAATGAATACAATATGGGAACCAGTAATAAGGAGTGCCAGAGAAAAGCGATAATAGCAACAAAAATTGAAATATGAGCTCAGGTAAAAACATAAAATGATAACAGCAAAAATTGCAATCACAGCACACAAAAAATGGTTGCTGAAGACATTAAGTTTATAATACCCAGAAATTCACACACAGATGTCCTCAAGGACACATGGCACAGTGGATAAAGGTGTAGGATCCAGTGACAGGGCCCAAAGAGTGTGAGTTCAATATAAGGCAGTGGAGAACTTGGAGAGGGGAATTATCAGGAGATAACTGACAGCTGACATCCATTCCATGGCACGTGGAACTAGAACAGTCTACCCCAGTGAGCAAAATAAAGGGTTCAGTTTGACATTACAACCACCTGAAGAAGGCCAGAGCATACAACATCTTATGTTGTAATAAATGTAACAACGTTGTAATAAATGTAACAACAAAATAATAAAATGTTGTAATAAATGTAACAACGTTGTAATAAATGTAACAACAAAGATGAGGACAATAGTCCAAATAATGTAAATAATGCACATAATACCTCATCTCAGAAATATAGACAGATACTGAACAGCCAAAACGTTGTAATAAATATGCCAACAAAGATGATGACAATAGTTTGAATAATGTAAATAGTGTACACAATACCTCATCTCAGATTGTGTTTAGTACAATGGTTTGAACATATACAAGATTGGAACATGGCGCAGTGGTGCGGACATTGTTAACATTTTCAAGAAACTTTGCCAAGTTTAGTTTTCTTTTATTCTTCTCCAGTGGCAAAAATTAGAAAAATAATTAAACAAAACTGAAACAGACTTACTTGCACAACATGGTAAGTGCCCAACCATCAACAGCAATATCTTGTGTTGCAGCCAAAAAATTAAGAATAAAAAATATAACAGTAAAAAACAAAACATTAGGTGAAGATCCTTTGTCACCAAGAAGTTCACTCACATAATACGAGAGCAATATCATAAAGCCACCAATCAAGTATTGAGATGGTACCATCCATGACTTTCTTCGACCCATAGACGGTAGATACATAGAGTCCACAATTGGTGCCCATAATAACTTTAAGCTGAAAGGCCAATAAACAAAACTGAACATTGCTTGCTCTCTATAACTGATTTGTCGGCTTTGCAACAACATAGGGATGCTGCCAGCCAGTCCCAGAGGAATGCCTTGCAAGACATACAAAAAGAGTAAAAGTAAAATGTTGCCAGTGTCATCTCTCCAGTTAGATACCCGATGTGTAATTGAGGGTCGGTCCACATAATCAGTAAGAGGGAGGTGGGGCATGCTGCAGTTGGTATCCAGGTCTGTTGTCTCTACTGTATGCTGCGGCCATCTGTTGCCATGGTGATGATGTTTCTTTTGTGAACGATCTCTGAGATCATCTGCAGAGCTTGACATTTTTGCAGGATCTTCTCAGTCGGTACTTAGTAAATGACCTAAACTGGAACAGGAAAAAAAAAAAAAGAAAATATCAGACTAAATGATTTTAGGATAAACCAAATTACATACCAAGAAGGCCGAGTCAAAATTTACAAGCTGATATTTACTTTTAACAAACACAATAGTGAATCTCAATGCAACATCACATGGCATAAACAATGTTTTGTCACTTTTTTTTTTAACTGCCATGTTCCTTTAGGATATAGGCAATCAAGACTCTCCACACATTCCGTTTTCTTTATAATCCATAAATTGCAATGGCTTCTTAAGAAACACAATGGGGTAGTTCCTACTGCCTTCTCCACTGTCTAAACCTAAAGTTTTCCTTCTCTTAGACTGGTTGTCACCCAAGACTATAGAGTCCAGTCTACCCAGATATTTTGCCAACTATTGAAGAAAGAAGACCTGGGTTCATGCCTTTCTCAATGACATTAGTGTAAAAGTGAAACACAACAGACTATACCAAGATTTGAACTCAGCTTGTCCAGTTTCTGTTACATTACCTACATATTCAGATATAAATAATAACAAACCAAATTAGTTATAATGGTACAGTTGTGCCAATAGTCTAGTCAATTGATTTGGTATTTTATCTACTTGGTTGCAAAATAAAAAACATTTTGTCTGGTTTATAGTCTTGCAAAAAACAACAAAACAAGATACATAAATTAACAAAACACCAGGTCAAATAGTTTCAAGATATCCTTGAATAATTACTTACACTAATTACATGTGGACTAATGTACTCATGTTTATTATTGTTATCACATTTTAGCCATTGTGACCTCCAGACTTCAAGTGTATGCTGATCTGGATAACCTACAGGGGATTCCAGACTGAACACATTATTTAATCTACAGGCTGTTCTCGTTCTACTGCCCATGCTTAGGGATATATCAATCTATATTTAGTTAATTTTGTTCAGTTAATGCTCACCCCATTTCCACTGAGTCCAAGTCCAATCACCCAGACAAGCTCTCTAACCATTACCCCATGCCCAGGTGCACCATGTTATTTGTTAAGCTCAAATAATTTCTAGCACAAGACCTAAAGTGTGGGACACCTAAAGATCAAACTCAGTAGTAATGGTCAACCAGACGAGCTCACTAACTATACCAAGATGCCCAACACCAGTAATTAGTTAGTAGCTTCTAGACAGTGGAAAGGTGGTTGAGGTCAACAGCTTGACCTATAAATTTCTGAAACAGCCACTATCAACAATGTACAGGGAGAAACAGCAGTTACCACATAGCAAAGTACCACTAAGAACTGGCACTACAGGTAATTCAGAAATTTCCAGTATTCCAAGAACCACATGAACTATTGGCTCTACAACAACAAAAATATCAGATACCAATGTTTCAACCAACTTGGTTGACATCTTCAGGAGTTGAACTACATGTTGCTTCATCATGTTTCCAATTAGTCTTAATTTAAAATTTATAGCCACCAACTCATGCCATTTTACATTCTATCCAATGTACACAAGCTCAAACTTTTCGTACAAAATGGTGTTCATCATCAATTTGAAATTCAGATAAAGGATATAAAATATTTGTCTTTCATTCGATAATGAAAACCTACATGAGCATATGGCTGAGTAGTTAGTACATTTGCTTTCCAACCATAAGACCCGGATTCAAATCTCACTATGGTTGATTTGTCAACTTGATGTTATTGGCCAGTAGAGGTGATCGTAGCATGAAAAATCATACTATGGATTGACCCAAGCTTTGTGAATGAAATTGGGTAAATGGAACTATTTGTGAGCCATCGATGGTTGCACTCTACTAGTTACTGTAACTAATGGCTGCAGCATAAACCACAGGTGTGGTCTGTGAGTGTTGAACATGCACAAATGTGCCTGAGCAGGCATCTGCAATAGGAATTGGCCCCCCCCCTAGCAGTCAGACATCCTCAGATACAAATAGCCAGCCATTATTGATATTCCACATACTGAAATCAGGAGAAACTCTGGTTGTTGAATACTGAGTAATTTAGCAAAGAAGACAGTGAATGGAAAAGGGACAATAAGCATCTTTATTGCCTTCTCTTAATGTGCAAACAGTTTTCAGCTCGGACATTTGACAATAAGTGGCAAACTAAATTCCTTTGAAGTTCATAAACTCTTCACTGATGCAATATAGGCAGTTATCATTTACTAATACTACAGGCAAATCACATATAGTGAAGTTTTCATTCGATTTCCCAATTACATTTTGAACAGCAGGTGGTTTCATGAAACATACTTCAGTCCACTTTGAATTCATTACAACAATAGTTAAAAATATGTTCCCTGAATTGCCCAGCAAAATCTAAATGCACTCTTTCCTCCCATAACTGACTTAGAAATTCTCAACTTGAAACTTTATTCTATTTAGTCTCGCCCTAAATGCATACTTTAGAAACAGTGTACGCCTTTTTAATCCAATTTTGGTCAACACACCATCAAGCAAAATCTGGCCTTACTTAATATATTTATAGAAATCTGATGAAGTTCTTGGATAACATTCAGCTTTTAAATGAGACAAATGACCACAGTATTGCACGATCATCACCACTCAGTTATTCTTACTTATAAAGTATGGCTTTAATGCAGTTTGAGTGGGGGGGGAGGGGCTATGGCTATATTACATCAACATACTGGTTCTTATACAATCAACAAAGTTAAAAAATGCCAAGCCTGGTCAATATGGTATTTTCTTAATCTGGCTGAACTCCATTCTACTAGCAGTTGCAGCACATACCTTCACATTTTTCCAGGGAACAAGACTGGCACTCTCGACTCTCCCCCCAGTCCTTTTCGTGAGCAATTCCACAACAAATGACATGGTTCTGTACACAGAAAGCATGTAAGATTTTTTTGGGGGTGGGGGTCATCAGACAGTTGTCTTTCAGTCTCTTGTGTCAAGTGAGAGCAGTCACAAGCCATATGGTTTAGACCATCACACACGTAACATATTGTTGGTGCACTCGTAATTCCTTCCACTGAGTTACACTTATGTAATATCCATCTTGCCCATTCAGCAGGATGGCGCTTCTTGTCACACTCTGGTAGACTGGCCACAAAAACACATTAAGCCTTGCTCTGGTATACAGAACAGAACTGAGAGTTTCCGTAGTTCCACCAGAAGAACATTGACAGACTCTCCAGGGTGTAAATGTCATGCAGCAAATTGTTCATATGCTACAAATGAGTCAGCAGCAAAGGCCATAGACAGGATTTTCTTTATACAGCTGAAGTCGATTTTTCTTTTTTCTCTCAGCTCCTGATACACTACAATGATGCATCAGGACTACAAACACAATCCTTTTCACAGCACACAGGCATTTAATTAGTCCTAAGGCACTAGGTAATTTACATAACCATGTATGGCACAGACAATTTTGTGCCTCTTTCATTTGGGAGATAGTGCCATTACAGAAAGGTATAAATCCAGCTATGGCTTAATCAGTAGGACTGTTCAGAATATTGTCTTCATCTTTGTTGCCATCATGTTTCAGCTGTTGTACACTCCAGCCTTCTTTAGGTGATGAAAATTTTAGACCAAACCCTTTATTTCATCCACCTGGGTAGATTGTTCTAGTTCCATATCCTTTCTCAGTATCAGTTATCTCCCTTTAACTCAACTCTCCAAGTATTTGTTTTCCTCTGCTGTAGCCAGGTATTGAATTCTTTCGGTTAAGTCACTGGATTCAGTCAACGCTTTTATCCATTGGGCCATGTGTCCTTGAGCAGGAATTGTACTGGTAAAATCATTATTATTTCCAAAACATTCTTACAATCTAAAAATATTTTCTGGATTTAAATAACCTGCAAAAGGTTGATAAGCCATAAAAAAACAAAACTCAATCAATTGACGTAGTTATTGCAGCGTAAGTTCACAAGCTATTCATAGACCCTATTGGTAACAGGATCATTTCTACTTTTTAGACATACTTCAGCTATTGTCACAGAAATTAACCTATCGCATGAATTCTGTTTATTTAAAATTGAAGAATCAACCACAGCAGCATTTACCCAAGATGACTAAGGCAATCAGTACTGTTGTTGGGGGATCCAAGATGATACTCTTAATTTGTAATTATAAGCAACTAGCAATGGCTAACATTGTACACTGATGACAGCAAGAAAAATGGATTTATCTTCAAGCAACCCCAGGAGCAGTTTAAAAGAGTCAAATCAGACCAAAAATGGAGTGTTACTACCATACCTTAGCTAGAGCCGCTCAATCCTCTCTTTCCAGCCTTGATAGAGTCCAAAAAGCCTTGGGGGTGATGAATTATTTTCAATCCTACAACCCCTTTCCACAAATGAAACACTGCAAGCCTCTTGCTACTCTACCATTATTTCCATGAAAAATATTCTCATAAGCTACATACATTTAGTTTCTCCCAGTTCAGACCTTCACAGATAAGACCCTCCATGCCATATACATTGAAACAAATTTACCCATCCAGAAAAAAATTCCCCTTGTATAGTGCAACCAGTCACCAAAAATGCATGTAATTTCTAAGCTCTTCAAAAAGTTTCATTTATAGTGCAACCTCCCCTATATTTGTGTAAAAAACTGATCATAAATCTCACACTATACTTGTGTATATATGGTATATCATTATTTTCCCTTATAGTTTCATGTGCTATTTTAGTTATTGCTGCTGTTGAAAGTCTTCAAGTGATGTGGCTTTTATTATTTGGTAAAGTTCTTTGTGGTTCTGTAGTCCCAGTATATAAGATCTGAGTCTCAACATTTAAAGAATTCTAACTACTTATCTCTTTCACACTGAAAAATACCTGTGGTGCTATGCACACCAACTTGCTAGCAAGTGGGTTGATAAGGATCACAGTAAGTATTCATTTTATTTTTTCATCTAACACAAGTTACTGATAGGCATGACCCAAATCAAACTTACTAAATTTCTGTCCTCTTTTTAAGATAGTAAAAATGTCCTCAATATGATACTAGATAAGAGTCACAAGACACCAAAAGGTTAATGATT